CTACTACCAGGGGGTGCATATATATTACACAGCGTGACGTCTTCCTGTTCCATTTTCCCTTTCACCAACACAAATCTTCCCTCTTTATCTTTATGTTCTCCAGTAAACTCAAAACCAACCTTGTTCGGTATCAGAATGGCCACTCCTCTTTTTTTGCCAGATCTATGTGAGGCATAATAAATATTTTTGAATCCCATTCTCTTCCACTTCTCATGTTCTTCCTTTGATATTGTGTTTCTTGTAGAAACGCAATATCAATTTTTTTCCCTTTTTAGCTTTGAAACTATCTTACTCCTTATAATGGGATTCTTTATACCATTTACATTCAAAGACAATACCTTATAATACCGCATATGTTCTATGTATTTCCAACTTATTTTCCTGCACCAACATAACAATACTCCCAGCCCTCAGAACACATAATAAACACACATGAACAAAGACAGAACTTGTCTTAACCAAATAAACCAGGTCTTCCATAATGCTGGGCTTACACTGTGCGATTTTTTTTCAGTCGAGCGATTCAGCTCCTACTCAAACTGTACGGTTGACTCGCAGGGGTTAGAAGTTCATAGGTCACGATGCAGGGTCTCACACTATACGGCCCGATGCTCTGATGCAGTGCTCACACTGTGCGTCCATAAAATGAAGGTTATAACAGAAATTCTGTCGCTCGCTCTCCCTCTCTCTCTTTACTCACACAGACACACCACCACCATCAACTTTGCTAAATTGCTAATGAAAAACATTGATCAGGCAGCTGTGATTGAGCAGCAATGTAAATCCAACTATTTTCATGGTTGTTGTGGTCGTGATAATTTTGTGAGGCCACATCGAAAAGGCTCGGATGAGCTTTCCAAAGTTCTACAAGTTGTGCCTCCATCGCTTGTGTCCAGATCACACGCTGCACTGCCGTGCTGCGCCGTCTTTTTCGCTGACATTTGTGTTTGCGTGAAACGGGGCCGGTGGGGCACAGGTGTTACTCCTCCGTGCGCTGGAAAACCTTCAGCTTTTCCCGTGCGCTCCCGCGTAGATCAGCTGTATTCCCGGTGTTGTGCCAAAAAGTGATTGTCTGCCAAAAAGTGATTTCCAGTGTTTCTGTGTATTTTTTATGTGTAATATCTTTACGTATGTTCGTAAATAGACTTCGGTGAACAGGGGATACAAAGGGGTTACATAAAGAATTAAAAAATTATCTGTCTTTTAAGTATCTTTACAACTTGTACTTACATTATAACCATATCTGGTCCTTTATCTCCACTTAACATATTTTTACAGAACTATTGTAATATTTGCTGCCATTTCTGCTGTGCTCTTGGCCAACTTACTCTTACAAAATACATTTTTAATGTTAATGAGATTTTTTTTACTGCATAAATAAAGGTTATATAAAAGTCGCTGCCAAAAACTGATTGCGGCTTGTATCTTGCTACACGAATGTTGTTTGTGGCTCAAGATGACTTTATGTCATCCATAAGGGATGCATTTGACATATGTTTAACATATTATAGCCCAACAAGTTACTTATAGCACTTTAAATATGAGCAATCGCTTTTTGGCAAATACCGGAAATCAGTTTTTGGCAGACAATCACTTTTTGGCACAACACCGGCGCGTCGCGGCCCAACCACGCTCTTGGATACCATACTGCTGATCATCTCCGCCGTAATGCCTTTGGGCTTTCTTATGGCCACCGGTCCCACCGTGTATCCACCGGTCCCACCGTGTATCCGCGTCTTCTTAGATCCCCCGCAGCTTCCTCCGCGCTAATAAGACCATTCCCGAGTCAAAATGAACCCGTATTTTAGCAAGCGGGGTCTGGAACTGGATGGCGTTTTCTTTAAGTACTTTTTTAACCGGGCCGTACTCTTTTCTCTTCATTTGTATGTTTTCGGCATAGTCGTGATCAAAGAAAATCCATTTCTCCTTTATATATGCAGGCTTCTTCCATGCAGCGCGTAGGATTTGTTCTTTAATATTGAACTTTAAGAAGCGCACCACCGTTGATTGAGGGGGCGCCCCCGGCGGCAGCTGCACTCCCAGCGCCCGGTGAGCGCTCTCCATCCCTAGGTTCTTCTCGCTGCCCAAGTCCACGCCGTCCCCCAACTCCGATATCATCATGCTTTCCACATACCTTAGCATGGAGGTGCCTTCTATGTTCTCAGGGATGCCATATATCCGTATGTTATTACGGCGTGAGCGCCTCTCCAAATCCGTAACCTTCTCTTTGAGCTGCCTCTGGTTATCCAGCAGCTGAACAATGGCATCCCTCACTCCAATGTCCCATTTCTCCTTCCCTACCATGTTTCTTTCCATTTCTTCCAGACGTTTCCCCACCTCCTCGATCCTGCTTGTGGCGGCGGTAACCTGTTGATTTATCTCGTGTGTTAACTCGCTCATTTGGGCTTTCATGTCCTCTTTCTAACTTGTTCTCACGAGCGATCCTTCTTCATCTCTGCCTTAAGGTCTTGCATGTCCTCCGCCACTACTTCACTCACCACCTGTCTGAGGGGGCCTAGCGCTGATGTTGTGGCCTCTGCCGCCATCTTCTCGCCCTCTTGCTCGGAGCGTGTTTCATTTGTCTTACTCTCAAGTCGCGTTTCTAAGCTTCGGCCGGGGGCTCGTCCCTTCTTATTTTTATCTCCGCTCATTATTCTTGAGGGGAAAGTCGCTTTTAATGGATTATATTCTTGAATTGCGGATTATTTTAGCTATCGATGCAGGAGCTCCTGTTTATGCTGCTACTCTCGCCACCATGACACCGGAAGTCCCCCACTTTTAATTCTTAACATTTGTACTATTCTAAAAAATAAATAAATATAGGATTTAGATGATTTCCAAATTGTTGCATTTGTTTTATTTACATTTCATTCAGTTTCCAAATTTATTTGGGATAATTGTAATAACCCAATGAAAAGGTACGGAGCCAAAGAATGCAACAACACAAAGTGCAGTGAACACCTGCATGTTTTATATATTCACCAGACAGTTCATTTGGCTTGACATTTGGTGTTTTTAGTTAGTTTTTACTACAAAGTATTATATGTAAATGTTTCCATGGCTAATTGTCTTTTTTGGAAAGTGTGGACAAACGCCAGGCAGGTTATGAACAAGGTGTGGTAGCAGGGTATAAAGGGCTCACAATTAACCAATTTGTTTGCTGGTTTGCTAGGAGAAGCCACTACTCTTCCATAGAGCGGCCATGTTGAGCTCGTAAATGAAAGCTTTGATAAATAAAAATAATAAAACTTGGGCTGTACTAAATCCTGTCTCTGCCTGCAGTGACTGGAGTCTTGATGCTCACTGACCATTTGACACAGAAGCATGATTAGTTGTTAACGAATAAGACCAAAAACAACGTTGCTTCATGGCACAAATCAAATGCAAATATAAAACGTGAAAATTAGAATAAGTGCAAAACTGTTCTAATATGGGGTTGTTGCTGTGGCATATAAAGCATGTTTTGATTGTAATTTATTTAATCAATAGCGTCAAAAACATAAACTAATCTATGGTAGCTTATTAGAGATTGTTAGCTAATTTTAGATTTCATTTTAGATTGGTGGGATCTCGCTAGCTGTGAGCCAAGGAGCTGATGTATTTTATTAATGTAGTTAATTTCCTATTCCCATTCCTGCTCTGGCTGAATTAGGTTGAACTCAAAACAGTCTGACCATCATTTATTTTTCACGCTTTTCTTTCTTTGAATAAAAGATTTTAAAGTAGTTTTTATTTTCTTACTTTGGTTTGTTCAGTCTCATGACTAGATGTAAACGGAAGACCATGAAACAATAACTAAACATGCACCTTATAAGGAGAATGGGACAATAAACAGAGGGAGAATGAAGACATAAATACACATCCAGGATAAGGAGGGGATGGAGAAACAGGCGGGAACACAGCTGGGACTAAACACACATAACGAGACAGAGAGGAAGCAAAACTGAATACACTAAACACAGGACAGAAGACTATCAAAATTCAACAGGAAACAAGAGGCACACACTGAGATACAGACTGACTAAACAGGGAGCAGGGGTAGCAAGAGGCACGACAGGGAAACAAATTAATAGACATGTGAGCTTGGCACAGTGACTTGGGAGACAAAAACACAGATACAAGATTTACTAAACACAAGAGAAGACTAGGCAGTGAGGGAGGGAGAACTATAATCACAAAGAACTGAAGGCAAACCGAAACACACTTTAGACGAAATAATAACGAAGAACCGAAAAACTACAACCTAACCAGAAACTAAATGATCAAATAAGAACACAAAAGTGCAAAAAAACAAAACAAAACACTAAATTTAGAATATTATTTCAGATGCAAAGCAATCCAAAACATAAACTCTGGATCACTGACTCAGGGCCATGACAAATAAAACCTCACAAGTTGAGGACTTACTGTCTTCCTACAGCCAAAAAAAAGTGTTCAGTAGTAATCAGTAATAAATAATAAAATTGTAAAAATTTGAGTTATAATACCAAATAATGATAATACTGATAAACTGTAATAACAGTGAATAAAAATCTTAATTACATCTCTGTTTTATTTGGAGTCATTGAAACCAGACTGGTGATGACTATACTTTATAGTCTTGTTATATACTTGTTTTACTAATAATACAGTCACTTCAGGCATAACCTTGATTGGCTCATGTACGATAATAACCTATGCCAGGTATGAGCCTATTCGGTGGAACCTGTCGATTTAAGCAACAGCTAAAGCTTGTGTATTTAAAGTTACTGCAAACCTGCCATCTAGTGATTGAACTCAAAAGTGCAACCAATCCGTATTTCACTGATAAAGGAGTGTTTAGTTTCACTAACACCCGCGTATAATTAAAGAAAGTTACAATTAAAGACAGATGATTTTACACAAGTGTTTTTCCCCCTCTTTCTTTATTTTACTTTTCTGTTTGGTCAGGTGGAACCTTTACACCACAGCATAAGTTGTTTCAGGACGGGATTCTGCCACGTACTCCCGGTAAACGCCAATGTTATGTGCGCATTTGTTTTTTTCGCCGACTGGAAACACGTTTATGCTATAAGTTTGTGCTTGACACGCCGGTCTCTTTGATTTAAACTTGAAGGTGTGGAGCCTGTCATCTGGTAAAAATGTCGGAGCAGTTGTTGCAGTGGTGTGTGGAACAGTTACATCACAAGTTTGGATTGGAGGCGGGTGAAGAAATCGTCCAGTAAGAAAATTTTACCTGCCTGTTATTACTGTCTGCCGTCTGGCTAATTGTAGCATCTGCAGATCAGCTAACTAGTAAGCTAGGCTGCGCTATGGTGTACTTATGTATGTATATGACGTGTCGTTGTCGTTTTTGATACAGCTAATTAATTGTGACACTACAGCTGTATGCCAGTGTATTGACTATTTAGTGGCTCACCGTGAACAAGCTGTTTTGGCTAAAAAGTCAGATTAAACCTTTTTCTACATGACAAGTGTCGAGTGGGACTTTGTGTCTTTATGTATTTTTATTTGTTTTAACTATTAAAAATCTACACACATGGTTTACGTGGTTTACATGGTTAGTGTATGTAAGCGAAACAGTGAACATAGTTTTCTGTTGAGAAATCATAACGTTTTTCATTTGGCAGGTAATAAGCAAATGATATGGACACTAAACCAAGCAAAGTTAGAGTCCACCCATCAGATCAACAGCCTGAAAGCTGATAGTTTATCATAAAGACAGAGATGAAGAACTGCATAAACGTGTACCCTAAAATAAGCAACTTTAACCAATTATATATGAAAAGCTTTTCGTGGACTAATATGGTAAATGGACTGGTATTTATATAGCTACAGTATATATTACTACAAGTTTCGTTCACCCAACCACACACACATTCGTACAAATGCTTTTTTTTTTATACCTAAGCTCCTGATATATTAGCATACTTCTAAAATTACTGAAAGACACATATTTTAAAAGTAATTGATAATTAAATGACAGTTCGTCGCTATTTCTGGTCTTTTAAAATGTTAGGCAATGAATTTGTATAGAAACGTCAATAAATGAAGTTGTGGTGTTGTATTTCCAAGATATATTCTATCAATCGAGAAGGCTGAAGAGATTGAGGAATATGTGGGAGACCTCCTGCAGGGTACAGATGGGGAAAAGGGGCAGTTCATTAACGAGCTCCTCAGCAGATGGAAGAAGACTCAAAGACAGGCAGCAGATACCACAGGTCTTTTCATTCTCAAAGAATCTGTTTCATCACCAGGTAAGAAACAAATTTCATTCAGATAGACTACATAAAAGGAACTACAGTAAAAAAAAACGCCTCAGTTGCTCTGAAACAACGTTGATGAAGGTAATTTTTAAAAATATTTTAGATGCACAAGATATGACCCGAGATACCCAGAAGAAATCTAAACGAAAAGGACGCAACAAACAGGAGGTGATGACCGTGAGCCAAGCAGAACCTGTGCCAGAAGCTGTAAAAACCCCCATTGATCTGATGAGGGTGAGTACAAATAATGCCACACTTTTGTTGTCTTCTCACCTGCTTTATGGAGATAATTTGTTACCAAATTGACAGAACTTATAAAATACCAGTCAGACGTTTGGACATGCCTACTCATCAGTGTGTGATTTTCTTCTTTCTTTTGTTTTATTTTAATTTTTAAAAAAAATATTTTTTACATTGTAGAACAATATGGACATCAAACCTGTGAAGTAACTTAATATGGTAGTCAGATGGGATGGTGTGTCAATTCAGTGCATTCACAGCCTTTCACAATATCCATATCTAACAAAGACATAAAACTGCATTCATCAAAGCAACGGACGGATTTCCACTGGTGTAATATCCAGTTCAGTAATGAGCAGACTTCTAAAATTACTTGTAACTCTGTTTCTTGTTGTTTAAAGTAGTGGATTTTGCTTTTGCTATTCAGTCATGAAGGGCTGAGTCACAGACATGCTTTTTAATGTTTAATCATTTTTATCTTTTTATGGCCTGTTGATAGAATCTCACTTATGGCATCCCAAATCCTGCTTTGAATAATTTAAAGTAAACTTTGTTTTCTCTTCATATATTCAGGTGATATTTCTGCGTTCTGATACAAAAAAGAATAAAAGTAATAAAGAATCCTTAAAAAAAAAAAAAAAGCGGGATCCAAACTTGTAACTGATATCAATATCATGTTTATTTGTACATGTCCTGTGCCATTTTTATTGTTGTGTTCATTTGTTAAACAGATGTCTTCCTTTCTACTTCTCTTCATTCAATTGTTCTTCAGGCCCAGGAAAATAGTAATACATCATCATCAAAGAAGAAAACAAAGTTTGTCAATCTCTACGCTAAAGAGGGTCAGGACAGGCTGGCTGTGTTACTCCCAGGTCGGCATGCTTGTGAATGCCTTGCCCAAAAGCACAAGCTTATTAACAACTGCATCACCTGTGGCCGTATTGTGTGTGAGCAAGAGGGCTCAGGACCCTGTTTCTTCTGTGGCAGCCTGGTACATATCACTTTAAGTCCTTAGATTGCGTTGTTGTTTTGGGGCTTTTTTTGTCATTCTTCTTGTGCTAAAAGTGTTTTCTGATTAAGGTCTGCACAAAAGAAGAACAGGAGATCCTCCAACGAGACTCCAACAAAAGCCAGAAACTAAGAAAGAAGCTCATGGGCGGTGAGGGTCTTAAGTAGTCAGGACTTATGAAAAGAAACTCTTTGAAAAGATCAACTGGTTTGATACTGTGAGTTTGTTTTTATTTTGGTGACAGACTTCGGAGAAAGAGAATATCTCTCACACCAAGAGGCCACGATGAAGGCTGGGCTGGAGAAAGCAATTCAGCACAAAGACAAACTGCTGGAATATGACAGAAATAGGTATCATAAAACACACAGTTAAGAAAAGAGCTTTACAAGAATGGATAGGTTTACTGCTCTGTGTGCAGTGTTTACACTTTAACAGGACATTTTGATTGCTGTTGAAGATAGTGATGAAAGTTGGTAATAACACTTCACTGCCTCCCTTTAACCCCAGTATCAGAAGAACACAGGTTCTGGATGACGAGTCTGATTACTTTGCCACTGAATCCAATCAGTGGTTGTCACCCAATGAGCGAGAGAAACTGAAGAAAAAGGAAGAGGAGCTGAGAGAGCTTCGCCATGCCTCTCGCAAAGACAGGAAGATCACACTTGACTTTGCTGGTAGACAAGTAATTGAAGAGGGAAACAACCTGAATGAGTATTACAACAAGTAAGATAATCTGACAGCACCTGAATCACAACAGCAATTCCAGATTTATGTTATGTGGTTGTGTTAAACAGCCAGACTTTCTGAAATGTTTCCAATAATTTGCAGGTTGGATGAGACCCTCAAGGCAATGAGCAATGAATCGGTGTCCAAATCACCAATGTATTCTGAAAGAAAGGGTGGACGGCAGGGCCTCAGAGATCTGGTGAATCCCAACATAATGCAATCTGCGCCAGAGGTAACTTGATCCATTCTGAACGTGGCATTTCTTCTTTAATCATTCTTCTTTAGTCATTTGTATTATTTTATAAATTCAAATGAAATATCAGTCAAATCCCTTGAGTTTGCTCTGCACTTTAACCCATCACAAAACAGTGAGCATTGAAACAGACTCTACTGATGTTTCTAACGAATGCCTATTTCAGTGGGTTGATGTTGGAGGGAGTGAAAGCCACAAGAAACCAATGGAGAAGGGAAAGAGTGCAATGGAGGACAAGGGAAGAGAAGAACGACACCGGTTGAGGCTCCAAGACAAAGAGCTGCAGGAGATGTCCGATGGCGGCTGGTGCCTCAGCATGCACCAACCGTGGGCCTCGCTACTGGTAAAGGGCATCAAGAGGTAAGGACTGTGCAGTGTGTGTGTGTGTGTGTGTTGTATATATGATAAACTCCTATAGACACTTGGGTTTTGGCAAAGTGTTGTAATATGTGACATTTTATGTGTGTATGCAGGGTAGAAGGACGAACGTGGTACACGTCACACCGTGGGCGACTTTGGATTGCAGCTGCAGCAAAGAAGCCCACCCCTCAAGAAATCGCAGAGGTGGAAGCTATGTATCGCCACATTTATAAAAAAGGTGCAGATGCTGTACAAAGGAATCATATTGTGAATACTAAAAATGTATTTCTGGTTTAAACAGATTTAAATATGGTGCTGCTGAAGATAGAAAAAAAGCTGCTACAAAATATAATGCATGGGTAATGCTCAGGAAAAAATTATATAGAAATATTTATGTTAAAAATGCCCCCAGTAGCTTTGTGTGGGCCCTCTTAAAGGCTGTTGTAACAACATTAGCCCTAGGTTTTGTAATAGCCCCTTTGGATCTTATTGCCAAGCTTTGGCCTTTCTCTGTGAAAGCTGTGAAAGGACATAGTGTCTTTAGGGCATATTTAATAAACTTTTTTATTGCACACAGTAAAGTATTTCTAGCAGAAAAGTATATTTGTTTAAATTTGCTAACAAGCACAACTTTCTTTTCATGGGCATGATAAAATGCTGTTAATAACATGTCATAATGGTATCATAATTTAGCACTGATACAAGTAATATTAATGCTAAACTGGGCTCTGTCATGTTGCTGTCATAAAGTGATACTGATTGCTTTTAATTCCACACATTGTTGATTGAGTGATCCTGGTCTTATCTCCACAGGGCCCATGTTTCCTAAAGACTATCCCACTGGCTGCTTGCTGGGCTGCGTTAATGTGACTGACTGTCTATCTCAGCAGCAATTCAGGGAACAGGTTAGTGAAAGATGTACTTTTACAACCAAAAAAAAAACCAACCAAAAAGTGAAACTCTCAGGTTTCACTACTCTTAACGTTTTCCTTATGACCGATTGGTATTATGGGTTCTGTTTGAAGTCAGTCGTGGGTTCACAGAAACATGAAATGTCTGCAACTGGATTAAAGATGACAGCCTTCCTGTCATCATTTGTGCTTAGTTGTGATCTAAAGTAGTTGTACATTTAAAGTATAAATTAATTCACTTGAGAAAATGTCAATAAATTCTGGGTTTGTACATGAAAAAGGCCATATATATAGGGTTTATGTATTTGTCCATGTGAGCCTTGGAGACAGTGTTAAAGTGACGCATCAAACACTTAACTTGTATTAAGTTAGAGACAAAGTTTTGTAATAAGTCTTTTCATTCAGAACTCTGTTAAATAATGACTCAGTTCCAGTTATAGCAAAAAACAGTAGTGGTTGTAAAAACATTGAGACTTCTCATTGTGTTTGAAATGCCCAGTGGATAATTTTGAGTAATAAGTATGATCTCAAGCTCTAGTCCTAGTATGTCAGTACTGTTTAGTGACTGTGTAGTTGGCTGTTCTGTGTAATTGTGAGTAATTTGGTGCAGTGCCACTTTCTGTCAGCAGAGAGCAGACTCCACCCTTTTCACAACACCTCCCTGCCAGTTTACAGTGTTACACTAGGGGCAGTATCCACCACAGAAACCAAATACAAGCTCTCGTTACACCAAAATACCTCCCACCAGAGTGGTGGTATGTACATTTTACAGTGGTACCAGTCTTTGTGTGTATTTCAGATATGTTCACAGGAGAAAGCGATTCTACTTGAAATGAAATCCCCACCCCTCTTAGCTCACACTGTTAGAGTGACTGCGAACATGTGATGTAGCAAATAATGCTGCTGCTCCATTAGTGCCATGGTCACTGTTGCCTTGTAGGACTAATAAACTGTTTACTTGAGCTTTTGCACCTAAATCAGTTGAATTAATTGCAGTGTTACCAGATATAAGCTGGAAAATGCACCCTACTTTCCATTACAGCATTATGTGGAAACAGAGTGGCTCTCCCCATTTGCTGTGAATGGAACACATTTAAACTTAATTGCATTGCCATCTTCATTTGGCTGTTTTGCCCCCGGCTTTGCAAGACACTGCTCGTCTCAAATCATTCTTTTACAGACTATTAAATGTGTGTATTATATGTTATTATAACACTTCACCAAGAAACGTTGTGTTTTTTCCTTTAAATTTCCATCTTTAGGTACATGCCTTATTTGATTACATTAGTTACTTTTTATTCTGTACTCTACACCTCTACCTGGTATACTCCATATATATATCGTAACACACGGATACACTCGCATCCATGTAGAATAGTCTTGTTGAACTATTTAAGTGGGGGAATTCGTCAAATTCTACACATTGCATAAACATGCTCTCACCCAGCAAAGCTGCAAAACCTCTTGCACATGTGCATACATGATCTTCTGCCATCTTTAGTGATAAACAAAAGCAGATCACATTTGGAAACTGCACAGTCTTAAAAAAAAGACTCATACACACAGAAAAGGCAATAATCTGCTTGTGGGTTGTTGTATTTCTGCACATCTCTGCATACACACACAGTATCTTCCTGCATAAAGGCAGTTGTTGTTTTGTTTTTTTCTGAGAAGCTGTGTTTTTGGTTGAAAGAAAAAAATAGCCTTAAAAATGTGTCCTGTTTCATGGTTGCATTCTGACTGCTGGGACCTGTAAATCTAAGGGCTTTCCCCTTTTGTACTCTGTCCTCATTCTCTCCTCCACCACTCATTCCACCCAGGGCTGTAAAATCATGTTTGCAGGCAGTGTGGCTGCCCTTTCATCCTGTGAAAGGGTGTGTGTATGTGTGTGTGTATGTGTGACCACTTGCACAGAGCAGCCATAAATAACACCCCCACCTCACACAAGGCCCCTCAGAAAAAAAGAAAGCAAGACACATGTAGGAAAAAAGTGAACCAACTAGAAAAGAATAGAAAAGAATAACAGCACCAAATGCCTAATGATGGTGCTGAACTGTTAGCTTTTGCCTATTGGAGTCGACATTTTGGAAAAAAGGAAAAGCCATTAATGGTTTAGCGTTTGAATCTTGATTCCTTTTGTGTAAGTAGAAGAGGGCATGTTGTGCTAGTTTATAGTAGCACATAGCTGCACTGCTGGGTTGGGAGAGTGGGTGAGGTGTAGGATTTACTGTCCTGTGCTGGCAGCTGTGGGTGGTTAAAAGGGGGGTGGTGAAGGACAGACAGCCATTATTCTTCAGGCTCTTCTAAATCTGTCTCTTCATGATGTATGAAATATTCAGGGAAAGTGGAATGTGGGAAGATCAGGAGAGCATGAGAGAAACACTACTGACTCACAGAAATGGAAAAAAATGTTTTTATTTTATTTAGCACAGGAGTCTTTATTTCTCTTAAGACAAGACAAGATAAGATAAGATAACTCTTTATTGTCATTGCACAGTCATACATAGTACAGTAGTACAATGAAATTGGAAAAACTGTCCTACGTCGGCACTACATATAACACAACACGACACGATATGACACATCACAACGTAACAAACAACACAACACAGTATATTAACTTAGTATAAAAAAGAAGAATAAGTGTATGTGTATTGCACACTGTTATTATTGCACATTAATTATTATTGCACCTTGTTATAAATATAAATATTATTGTTATCGTTTTAAACATTGTTACCTCCCCCTAAAAAGTCCAGGGAGGTATCCAGTCAGGTCAGCTATTTACATTGATCAGGGCTATTGCCCTGTTGTAAAAGCTGTCCTTGAGTCTATTTGTTCGGGACCTCAGCAGCCTGAACCTCCTGCCAGACGGCAGCAGCTTAAACACCCGGTGTCCTGGGTGTGTGCAGTCCCGTAGGATGCTGCGTGCCCTCTTGAGACAGCGAGTGCTGTACAGGTCCTTCAGGGAGGGAAGAGGATGTCCAATGATTTTTTGGGCCATGTTGATGACCCTCTGGAGTGCCTTTCTGTGTGCTTAAATGTCACTGATCGACGATTCTGTGTCATTGCACTCGTTCCTCCGTTGGGGCGCTATTGCACAACACCAAAACCCGGAAACCCTGCTGACAGACAGTGCAGAAAGACCACCTCAGGCAGAGCAGGATTTCCATCTGCTTGACTTGGACCAATTCTTTCCCTCATTAGAAACTGACTGGTGTATTGATCCGTTCTCCCTGTAATCTCTCACTCCTCCCAGCTTCCCATCCCCCCCTTAGTACTGATAATTGGCCAGCCATTATGATCTGTATTCTGTCTCTCCACTCCTACCCCCCAGTGTTCACTCAGCAATGGGTGGAGATGTATGCCTGACCTGCCTGCTGCAGAGGGGGGTTGGGATAGAGATGGGTATGTTACAGATTGAAAATGGGAATGTTTTTGCTGCAAAAGGCTAAGTGAGATAATTAAGCATCAACAGAGAGGTGCAGCCAATCTGAGCAGCTTTATAGGTGGTAAAAATGTTACAGATTCTTTATGTTGAGTAAAGCTGCTTTAAGTCAAAAGGAATTTCTCTTTTCTTTTTTCCCTTTTTTTTTTTTTTTTACAACACATCCACATATGTGTTCTCTATCTCCACGAAAGCTTCTAGCACAGACAAAGGCACATCAGACCCCATGCAGAGCTTGAATCACACATCTACTTACTCCTGCAGTGAAAAAATTGATTGGATCAATCCACACTCTCATTTAAGGTCTGATTTGTTACCCTGTTTCAAAGACCAGATCACCAGCTGCAGAGATACATGTCTTAGTGAATACAAAAAAAAGGTCTTCATTCATATGATATGACTAAGAGGACAAGAAGTCAAAGTGGGCAATGTGTGTGAGGGAGGTTTGTACATGTATTATCTGAACAAAGAACCCTACACATTTCCTGATGATAAAATATTAACATAGTAATCTGTAAGTTGCATCATTCTTTTTTTGCACAGTAATCCAGTCTGTGGTATCTCAGATAAGCATATGTTTTTGACCTCAGAACTGTTAACGGCTGGTATGTAACACATTTCCCAGCTCACGTACCTATCAGTTAAATGCATATTCGTGACATGACTCAAAACCAACTGTTAAAGTTTTTGTTTTGTTTTTTCTTTTGTCATTAATTCCACTTTAAGAGCAAAGAAATGTACCTTTATTTCACGAATGATTTATTTATTTTTGTTGTTAGACAAGAACAGGCTTTGATGTGTCACAGCAGGAATAACACAAGTTAAAATAATCAGGATGGTGGCTGAATTTCAGTTAGCTTCACTTTTAGGGTATTGATCTTGAGCATGCTCACTGTCACGCTTTCATTACTAGAATAAAGCAAATATTAATGTTAGAAGTTAATGATACTTTGCCGACCTACTGAGTCAAAACTTACATTTGGGTTTTAAAAGGAAATGCAAGCACTGAAGTGAGTGCTAACTCAGGTGAAACTCTTATTTACAGCATAGCATGTAAAGATAAGAAGATTTTATATAAAAAGCAAGAATATAAAAGGATTTTCTTATGGTGTTCATCTGCTGCATGAATAGATATATATGTTATAGTATACCATCAGCATATATGTTTAGTTGACAACAGCGGCATATGCATATATTTATTGTTTGCATCTGAACACTAGTGAGAAAGTCAAAGAGCCATTATACCGCAATAATTAACAGTAATAAATAAAAAAAAAGCACATACAAAATTAAGTAATTCTGGAATAACCCACTCAGCATGACACATATGACACAAAAACAAATCTAAAGTCGGAACGTGGTGTGAGCACTTTTTGACTAGCAGGTTCTTCCCAGCATCTTAGTTCTCCGGAGGATTTAGGCTGCCTCAGTGCCTTTGGCTTCTTCATGTAATCCCAGACTGACTCAGTGTTGATGAGATCAGGGCTCTGTGGGAACCATACCATCTGTTGCAGGACTCCTCGGTCTTCTTGTCACTGATAATTCT